ATAAAAGTTTTGCAGAAAGACAAGTTGACAAATAAACAAGCAGCCTGTTGGCTGAGATAGCTCCACATTAGAAAATGAACAATATGTATAGTACATTGTATCAAAGCAATCAGACTTGCTGTTTTCAACAAGAATTTGAAAATATCACTTTTTACAAAAATGACAAAAATATTCATCAAAATTAGATAATTGAAGATATTATCACAAGATGAACAAATCTGAGAGAGGTCTACCTGAGGTACCTATATGTATAACATAAAAGCAATCAGACTTGTGATTTTTTAACAAGAAGTCGAAAATATCACTTTTTACCGAAAATAACAAAAATATTCATTAAAATTAGATAATTGAAGATATCATTACAATATGAACCAAATCTGAGAGAGGTCTACCTGCAGTACCTATATATATAATGTCAAAGCAATCATATTTCTGGTTTTCAACACGAAGTTGAAAATATCACTTTTACCAAAAATATTCATCAAAATTAGAAAATTAGAGATATCATCACAAAATGAACAAATCTAAAAGAGTTACATATACACCAAGTATCAAAGCAATAAGAATTCTAGTTTTCAAGAAGAAGTTGAAAATGTAAAAATATGGGTTAAAATATGCACTTTTTGGTATAAATTCAATTAAGGAAATACTATTACAATAATATCTAACTACATATACCCCTCCCATTCACCATGAACATTAACTATTGTGAAATAAATTATCTGGATATAAATATACCCTTCCTATTCACTATGGACATTAACTATTGTGAAATAAATTATCTGGATATAAATATACCCTTCCTATTCACTATGAACATTAACTATTGTGAAATAAATTATCTGGATATAAATATACCCTTCCTATTCACTATGGACATTACTATTGTGAAATAATTTATCTGGATATTAATATACCCTTCCTATTCACTATGGACATTAACTATTGTGAAATAAATTATCTGGATATAAATATACCCTTTCTATTCACTATGAACATTAACTATTGTGAAATAAATGAACTGGATATAAATATACCCTTCCTATTCACTATGAACATTAACTAGTGTGAAATAAATGAACTGGATATAAATATACCCTTCCTATTCACTATGGACATTAACTATTGTGAAATAAATGAACTGGATATAAATATACCCTTCCTATTCACTATGAACATTAACTATTGTGAAATAAATGATCTGGATATAAATATACCCTTCCTATTTAATATGAAAATTAACTATTGTGAAATAAATGAACTGGATATAAATATACCCTTCCTATTCACTATGAACATTAACTATTGTGAAATAAATGATCTGGATATAAATATACCCTTCCTATTTAATATGAAAATTAACTATTGTGAAATAAATGATCTGGATATAAATATACCCTTCCTATTTAATATGAAAATTAACTATTGTGAAATAAATGATCTGGATATAAATATACATTAACAAGATAACCTGCATTTTGAAAGAAAAAATTAATACTGAAAATTAAAAATGAACCAAAAGATAGCAGTCTATCTGCTGGTAGTGTTCCACATACAGACTGATAACTGGGTAGCACATTAAATTCCCATAAAGCAATTATGATATGAAAACAATCATACGGTTTATCATGCAATCACACAGAGTTGATAAACATTTCAAAGTTTGGTACATTGTGTAACCCTAACATTCAAGAGTCAGCTCGCCTGTCCTGTCTAACCGCACAACTTTAAAATCAAAAAGGATAACAATTACTCTAGATCAAATATTGGAACATCAGTGTGTTATAGTCTTGTGCCATATGGAGCATATCTTACTTCACTTTCTGAGTAGCCCTCTACAGTTAAGCAGAATATATACACCTATATTGGCTAATATACACCTATATGGGCTAATATACACCTATATGGGCTAATATACACCTATATGGGCTAATATACACCTATATGGGCTAATATACACCTATATGGGCTAATATACAAATTTGGATGTTCGTTTGCAGAACACAAAATTACTGGAAAAGGGAAAAGTTCAAATTTTAAATGTGGGTCCAATATAAGTCTTTGAGATATTTTCCTTCACACTGAAACTATTTTTTATCTAGCACAACTGTTCAAAGCAAAACTATGTGTTCCCCTTTGAAAGAGGGTCAAAAGTCGAGCCTTCCGAGTCTATTACATGTAAATTACCCACAGCCACTACAAGTTCAAAGGTCACTGAACACTGACACTGCATTACACTACACTGCAACATACACAAAGTGGAAAAAAAACAGGCATAGACCTCATAGAAGAGGTCTATGCTAGAATTTAACAGGAATTCAGTTTTTTTCATGAAGGGTACAATCTTTGGCTCAGGCTTTTATAACACTTCACAAATTGAGTGAAATACAAACCGACAGACATTCTTGAAACTATTTATATTCAAAGTGGAATCAGCAGGTCTACTTAAGTTAGGTTGAAATTGGTGAAGCATGACAGAGAGAGTGACCAGGGTGCAATTTTCATGGCATTGCTCAACAGTAAAGTGAAGGAAATGAATTCCAGTGTAGAGTGACTTGACTACAGTGGCTGCATAATAATTACGCAGTTGATGTGACAGAAAAGCCGTCAAAATACTACCTTTGGAATAGGGGTCAAATTCCGCCATGTGAAAAGCTATAAATATCATTTACAGTTTGACATGATATGCATCGTGCATGACATAAAATAGGCAGGCGTGTGTTAGTCACCTGTTCTAAGCAATACACATGGACAGCATCTGTCAATTATACACTCAAAAAAAAAAAACTATTTCTGTCAATTTTATGTTTTCATTAAATTTTTCATTACAGCCTTTATAAAGTCATTTGCATAGAAAAGAGATTACATTTCCTGTTCATCACACCTTCCCTAATGCATGTTGGCACATAACTGTTGCTTTCAAAAGGTGGTCGGTGTTGTAACACGATATGTGACAAACAAAAAGCATGTAAAATACATTTTTTACACAAAATTCAAATGTGACGACAATCACCCTTTTAAAGAAAGTTTGATCAGATCAGTATCCGGTGTATGTGGTAAAACATTAGTCCTAAACCAACATGTATGCAATGTATGACGACAATCCCCATGAATGCATACTGATAACTATTCCTGGTAGGAAAAATAACTTTAGCTTAATTTTCATTCAATACTTTTTTTAATAACCAAATTTTGGATTGAACTGGCTATTTACTGTAAACGCTTTAATTTTCACCTCCATCAATATCATACGAGATAACGGCATTAGTGCTGATGAATTTTCACAATGCTAACTCTGGCTTGTCATAAAAAGACTGTTTATCGCTACAAAATTCCGCAAAGCGAATCACGGTACATACAGTACAGTTTTGGTATCTAACAGCGACAATAAGCAATTCAGAGAAAAATAGAATAAAGCAGCAAGAGAAAAAAACAAGCGAAAATATTAAGATGTAATATGACTAAGTTGATTCTACCATAGAGTTGTAAGAGAATATAAAATGAGTTCATTTAAAAAAGATATTAAAGAAGCAACTCACATTCCAAACTGTATTAAAATTTAATGGCACAATGTCAGGTTAATAGCACTCGAAAAAAAAGCACTAATAGAAAAAATGACCTATTTAGAGTACTTGAAAAAAAAAGACAACCTTGTGCAATCGTTTTAGTGTGGTACATGGGAAAAAAGTGCAAGAAAGTGTAAGACGGGTGTAACATTAATATTACAAACTACCATGTGGTATCATGAAGACACCATAAAAGCTCCTAGATGTTGACACCTCCAGAGAGTTGCCTCTCAATACAAGAACACACGATTAGGATTCAGCAGGTGTCAGATACCATTAATATTCATTGTTTCTGGCCTTATCTCAATGGCTACGCTTGATAGAATACTGATGAGGCAATCAATGCGTTATTGATCTTGAATTGTCTACCTAAATACTGATTGTAATCTATACATCTGCCTATGGTATTTAGCTCTGGGTTTTTTCTCATCAATGTGATTCGTTGCCTTCACCCATTATCTATGATGTCAGAAAAAGTCATTATTTTGTTCCAAAAAGTGATCACAACTATGGATTGACTTAATTGAACTTGATTTTTACTGCCACCGGCTTACAAGCAGGAAATTGAAGCTGTTTTTTATTTCCAAGGCTATAGTTTCCCATTATAGCTTGAGAGAAATTCTCAATTTAACTCTTCAGGAGAAACGAAAAAACAAGGTTGTAGGCTTATAACATTATAACTGTATAATGTAAATAAAAAAAATAATGGTGAAGAGGAAAAGATGAAACAAGGGGAATTGATAAATCTTAAGCGAACACTTACGCGAATATTCAGTTCTACAATTCTAGGTCTGCTGAATGTATTCTTACTGAAACAGACTACCCAAATTCAAGTTTATATTTACATTGCAAAGTTTCTTTGCTGCACACAAAAATTAACAACTATGCACACACTCAAACTAAAATTAGATTCAATTATTTGATACAGTACTGTAAAACTCAAAATGTGGCAATAATTTTAACCAGAAATTTGCTCAATTGCTTATAATACATGCCATATTGTTTATTTTTAACGTACTGTTTAAGACTTGCTTGAATTAAACGATTTACAGACAGTGTCAATCACAACACAGAATAAAGAAGAAAACAAACATTAGTAATATCTGTATGGATGAACAGACATATTTTTTGATAGAAAAGAACGAAATTTCATAGAAAGTTGTGTTAAAAAAAAAAACATCAAGGTGAGAATTTAAAAAAAAACTGTAACTACATGTAATTCCTCAGTGATTATATATAATGTGGTGTGATCAGAGAAAAGAGAATAGTTTTAATGCTCGCCGTATGGAATAAATCGCATCAATTCAGAAATGAAAAGAACAGAAACACGGAATACGTTGTTATTCACCCGGAACGACATGACTGCATACAAGCACCGCCCCAGGGAAGTTCTTTCACATTATAAATGGCGATGGGAAGTAGATAAAGGCATACCTCTTTAAATAATGGATTACAAGCATCATCCTCTTCGAAATGGTCTTCAAACAGGTCCGGATTGTAGCCGCCAAATATATACAGGTTGGCATTGTCCGCCACAGCACGGTGGCCACTGCGAGCGTAAGGTTTACTTTCTTCGACGAAGTAAGGTTTTGACCTTGCTGTGTAGAAACAAACAAAAATAAAGTGTGTATTGGTGAATTTAAAAACTGAATCATCGCCCGTTTATTTCACATGTATTATGCATGCTCAAAATAACCTGTACCTTTCATCACATATTACATAGAAATAGAATCATCTTACTAACCGCACCTCTCTGGTGAAGTTGGTCGCCATAAATAGACAATACGTCGGAAATGAACTGTTAAATGCGAGCTCCTGGACATTTTAGTTGAGCGGCATAGTGTCATTTTAAGATGCATGTTTTTTATGACATCCACTCGTTTTTATTTCTGATCTTAAAACGTTGGAAACTTACCCAATTTTCGATTTCTTCGAGGTTTGACGTGCTTCACACGTCCAATGTGCAAGGGGGCAGCCATCTTGGGCCGTTGTTTTGATGTGTTTCTTTGTTCGCGTTTCTTTTCTCCTCGCGGTCCTCCAAGATGTAAACTGCGGTTCCACATCACAAGAAGAGGCTGGTTACGTGGCATGTTTGTTGGAAATTTGTTTTCCCTTTTCTCTCGCAGTTAAACAAATTGCCGCACTAACTTCGATTGTGCAGTGCTGACTGATGCGTGTATGCAAGCGGCGCTTCTTAGGAAATGTATCTGTCATGCATGAAAACTCACATGCATACCGCGGTGAGACTATGCCCAGTGTGATAGCACGAAGTGACTTTCAGTGAGTCACTTCCGATGATGACGAGTTATTCTTCACAATAAATTAACACTAAAACTGTCAACAACACAAGTATAAATACAACCAGCAGATTTGGGAAATGGGCATGTTCTCCCGGTGGCAAGATCTGGCGCTGGACCTCCAAGGAAAATGACCGCAAGGTGGCACCTGTTACGCAGCAATAGCAGACGCACTCTCCCTCTTTCGACGTCAGCGTCAGACTGAGCGTTGGCCGTGAAAGATGGATTATATACTAGTACGGTGATTCACACGTGCTTCGAAGTTGTTGTTTTTTTTTTACTCAGATTTTGGCGATGCGTAATGACTGAGAGATAGAGGGAATGGTGACATAAAGTGACAACAAAATAATCTCCGTGTAGAATTTCCTCTCACCCCAGCAACGGATTCTAAAAGTTTAATCTGCGGCATTTCAATAAACCTGACACTTAAAAGCTATGAAATGCAGTCAAGGGAAAAGTGGTTTAATATGTTTTCATCATTTTCATTCAGCGGACTAATTGCCGGAAAATTAATATTTTTGCCGACTAGCTGTCAATATTGACCGTTTATTCATCTCGATGAATGAAGGACTATATAAATCAATGCAGGCCATGGAAACCGGTGCCCGGTTATTCAATATATCATTCGATACATTTTGAATGTTGTAGTTCTGTTTTACCATCCTGTACCCTCTGATAGTAATGTTATGTAATACAACACGAGAACGAAACAAAACTTGAAAACGTTAAATTGATAGTATTCGATGCCACATAACCATTTACTACTTTTTGGACCGTTCTGACAGTGTCTGACAACACTGTGTTCGATGGCGCCCTCTATAGACCGCTTTAAATTCAGTGATCGTTGGAGGACGCAAACAACTTGGACCAAGCCGGAGGGAGAGGGGAGGCTTGGAAAAAATACATAACCCAATTGGCTTTCATTATATAAACGTCCCAATGGTATGTCAGGGAGGCTCTACAATAAAGCAGTTGAGTTATATTATTGTTTTTTATGTTTGCAACTGCAGGCATTCTATGAATTTTTGCAAAGTTATGTCATCCTACTGACTGTACATGTATGTACAAAGACATAATTTAAGCATTATGAGTCTGTCGCTATAGTTATGCGAATTTTGACAAATTTTAAGTTTATAAGAATATTTATTTTTATGAAACCAACCTCGACCTCGGTGCCTCTCTGATGCTACCTTTCACTCAGCATAGGAATGTGGTAGATTAATAGTATACTTTATCCAACTCTGAAATAATCAAATTAATGTACATCAATAACATGATTGTACGTGACAAATTTGAGACAGCTGCTCAATGAGATATAATTACATCATAGTAAACGTGATTTGGATAATTATTGTCTACGACGATTGCTTGCTTTGACGTCACATTTGCTATACTACGATTGTCCAAGATGTAGCAACGACATGTGACAAATGGAAATAAACAGATGTGTATTGTCATACGTGGAGGCGCTGTCGACAGATCGACACTTCTTGGCGACAGGCTTAAAATTCGTTATCACGCACACCTACTTATAACAATATTTTTTTTTCGTAATATCCGTGAGCTCTGTTGTTTGTTTGTTTGTTTGTTTGTGTTGTCCATTTTTGTTTAATTTATGTCTAAATCTATGTAGTACTGGGTCAAATGTCATTTGTGGTACTAATGAAGACACGTGTAGTAAAATTAAAGAAAATTGTCATAGCACGCACACACACACAGCACCTAGACAACTGGCTACTCATAAGCAAACAACACCAGACACCCGGAAAATCAATTTCTTATCGAGCGAAAAATCACCTCACCAGCTATGAGCATTGTATTATCATTTCTATATACAAATTATATTACCGTGACACATTACCATGTATCCATTTGGTACCACGAAACTAGTGTTAACCAAATATTACACGAACATAAAAAAAATGGTGAAACACGGTTCGCGCTTCTTTAAATGACCTCTTTGAATGTTTTCGTTATATATAAAACAAGAATAGAAAAAAAATTATGCAAAAATCTCGCAACTTTAAAAGGCAACAATAATTAGAACGGCTGTGTAATTTCTAATGACACAACATAGAAGCCAATGTAAATGAGTGAGCTTATTATATCAAGTACAGCCAAAATGCGAGTATTTTGAATAAGTCGAATTTATTAAAACGCACGTGCCTTTGATTAGATGTCAACACGTACATGGTATGATTGACTACGATCTATAACACCACTTCAAAACACTTCGGGATATTTACAAAGCTTTAATTAATTTATAAAGACTGTAGTTATCGTTGGAGATACCAGATAAACGCCGAGGAAGAAGGGTTAATTGGATGTATATGCTCTGTATTTGTTCTGCTTCGTCAGATTGATGTTGGTTGATATACTGCCCCTTACAATTAAAGTACTGACCAGGTTAGATCACACTAAGTACGTAAAACATATTATCGTTATATAATTTGTCCATTGTTATTATGCATAATGAAACTAAAATATTTGTAATTAATTTTAAGTATGTGATGCTTTTAAGGTAAACTCGTGTTGGCAATCAAACGCTAAATCCGATTCATGTAAATTGCCAAATCTATGTAGACAATTACTAGACATTTTGCATGCGTCGAAGATTTGTGCTGTATTTGATAACTCTCTTTGACATATGACACGTCCCCGTCCGCACCAATGCTTTGAAGTTTAGAAAACTATTAAAAAACAAATTAGTTTTGAAACTCGGCGCTCATTCACAAGTGAGCTTTCACCATGTTTTTCTCACACCCGAGAGGGGTGGTAATTTTATAGTTGATGTATACGCCTAAGAAGCCCTGAATTGACTCACATTTTCACTGTCCAGCCGATTTTTTTAACTCACAATTTCAAGATTATAGTATTTTAGCCAAATTTAAGCAATTTTTTGACGAAAACCCTAAATTTCAAGCCAAACACCGCCCTCAACGTCGGTATTTTAGCGTCCATTTTTCAACTGGCTGCGTTCGCTGGTTCCCGGCGTACTATTTATTTTTCTCGCGGCTTGGTGCGCCATGACATTTGAAGCGAAAACCAGCAAACTGGCTGCGGAGGACTCCCATCCAAAACCAAGGTGAGTAACCCCCGGGCTTACACACAAGCAGTTTTCTCCTTACCAGTCATAGAGGGCGTTTTCACTTGCTTTTTTTCGGACTTGTGATTTACGTGCAATTTTGTAAATGATCAATCCATGGACGTGTTAGTACGTCCATGATCAACCCAAACTAATTTGTAATATACTATCATATGTAGTGGATATTAGTTTCGAAAACTTAAAATTATACGTCGATCTCAATATTTTGCTACTTTAATGACGATTACACGGTTACCTCTAGTAACCGTAATAAATGAAGTTCTAAACACATTGTACTATCGTGGCGAATCACTTTATGCAAATATTGATGCATGAGCACTATGTCTAGATTTCATATTATTTCAACTGATTACCATTCTTTTCAAACCTTTGCTGTCTAGATCTATGAAAGTTTTATTATTTGTTGTCAATTGAATTTTTCTCAATTTTTTTAGTATTGACATAATAGTGGTCAAATTATCAATTGATTCATTTTCATTTTGGAAATGGTTCTCAGCCAATTCGTGTAACAGTTGTCTAGAGTCAGAAAATGGCGGTGAGTGTCATGACCTAAGTAATCACTAATTACCCTCCTATTAGTTATATTACTAAATGTCAACCAACTACCTACCTACCTATCTACAAAATGTATAAATAATTTTATCAAACACGAGTTCTTTGGTAAAATCTTCAGAAATGTAATTCGAGGGACTGGCACATGACAATTAGAATCACCTTCAATACAATTCAAAAGACTTCCAATTCTGCTGTTGAAATCTCCAAATAAAAATTATTTCACCCTGCTAGAAGAACTGAGATATATTTCTTTTTCCAAAACGACAAAATACCCATCATTAGCGTGACACTAATAGTTAATTTGTCAAGGGAATATAAAAGCAAGCCAGATATATATCTTATATGCCAAAAATCTCTAATTCCAAAATTAATTCTAATAATGCATTTTTTTCAGTAGCGGACGTGGTGGTATTAATAATGTAAACGATGATAATAATGCCTGTTGAGGTGCCATTAACAGCGTAAGTTCTTGGTTGGTGGTATCAGGGGGTAATACTTCTCTCTGGGGTTCTCCACACTTGTCAGGGGGGAAACTCGTCTCGTCTCTCTATCTCGTCCCCTTGAGGTACGGGATCGGGGAAGTCACTTTAACTTTACAGTCAAATAAGACACACACAACGAAATACGTTTCAACTCTCGTCTTAGTCGATCCGTGGAGCACTCTATAAGACACAGCGCCCTGGGGAAAAGTCCAAAGACTCTCGCAAGGCTGACCCAAGACTCTTTTAGACTGCGTCAACACTCGCCCCAAGGCTCTCCAGGACTCGACTCGACTCGCCCGGACTGCATCTATTGTGGAGTATTCGCCAAGACCAACTCAAACTCTCTTTATTCATTTTCAAAACTCTAACCAATTACAAAACAGTAAAAAGACTCTAGGGCGTAACCTTCAATCATAAAGCCAATCAAACTAAGTACTGAATACGTCATATCTGTTGATTAATCGTTCACTACATTAATAACTATGGATATAAACTGTCAGAATGAGTAGTCTAAATAGCGGTGGTTATCTGTTAATTAGTTCCAAATCACTGAGCCAAGTTCCGTCCAAAACTTCAAATAGGCCTGAACGATGACAGACATAACACAGCAATTCAGCTAGTAATCAGCTAATTAAGTCGGTTAACAGATACGCAAAAACAAATTCATGACAGTGGCATAAATGGTCACTGGATGTGTTGGTTTTTGCATAGGTGATTACACTGGTAGTGGTGGTGGTGGTTGGCAGTGGTTGCACTGATGGTACAATTGGTGGTAACAATGTATTTGTGCTGGCATTGAGAGCACTTGAATTGATGGTGTTGGTAAACTAGTTGTGGTTGTATCGATGGTATCAATAAACGCCAGTGCTGGTGGTTTCAATAACTGTTGCATTGATGATGAGTGGTGGTTGGCACTGTGGTACAATAATGCTCCTCTTTATAATCTATTGTGTGACAATATTGTGTCATTTTAACATTTTCGCTAGAATTGATGTGCACAATAAAAACTGGCATGACAGAATCTAACACAAAGTTTGTTTATAACCACCAAAGCACTTAAGACTCTGTATACATTGATTTTATCCAACACAAACCCACACATTGTGTACTTTGTTCAAATGACAAATGTTTACTCCATGTGCTACATTGTAAGCTCTAATCATATGGAGAACAATTAAGCTTACGTGAATGTATCTCCATGTAACTTTATGGAATAGTCAACAATGTGAGGTGGCTGTTATCAAATTTAAAAATAGCATTAGGAATCGCTTTGCAAAAGAATTTTAACATTAATTTGGGTTCGTTCGTTTCGTTCGTCCGGAGCTATATCTCGGGCACCCATTGACAGATTTCATTCAAATTTTACATGAAGACAATACATAATGTCTTACATATGTGCGTCAAGTTACTTTATGATCGGAGAAGAAATGGCCGACTGGCGGCCATTTCGGATGTAAAATTTGCTATTTCTGATACCTAAACATGTCTGCAGCAGTTTCTCAGAGATGACTGGGCCAATTTGGATCAAAGTTGGTATGATGACGATGCATATTGGGTTGTAGTTGCATGTCATTTATTTTTGTGATTCAATCAAATATGGCCGACTGGCGGCCATTTTGTTTTTCATGGTACCCATGCTACTTTCTCTTGAATATGGCTGACAGACGCCCAAATTTCCTGTAAAAGCGTTAAATCGTCATTATTTACGTGTCCGGAGCTGTTTCTCAGAGATGACTAGGCCGATTTGGATCAAAGCTGGTATGATGATCATACATATTGGGTTATAGTTGCATGTCATATTTGTTCTGTGATTCAAACTAATATGGCTGACTGGTGGCCATTTTGTTTTTCATGATACCCATGTCTACTTTGCCATGAATGCAATGAACATTTCTGTTTAAATTTTTACAAAGACAGTATACATCAACATGAACATTATTTTTGTAATTTGATTCAATATGACTGCCCAATGTCCAATTCTCAAGTAAAAGCACTAAATCATAATTTATTACAAATCCATCTCCTATTAATGGTTTCAATCTAATCTAAATGATATCAGCATCAAATTGATATGTCAGATCACAAAATTTCGGACGGGGACTGTGTCATTAACAATGACTTGTTACATCTCTAAATGGAGTGCACATAAAACAAAAAGAAACATTTATTTTATTCTAGATTATTGACCACATATTCACCTCTGTCATTTACATTCACTTTTAATAGAGCAAGTATGGTACATATTAATATAAAACAACAGAATACCTGATAAATATTCACATGTATCAAAAATGAATTATGAAGCAGTATATCATATTACATTAATTTATAATATGAGGGACAGATAACATGACCGAATGAAAATGTTTTTTCTCCATTAGAAGTCGTCTCTAATTAAGGTTCATATGACAGTTGGCAGTTGTACTCATTTTTGTTAACAACTCAAGAGCACTGGATTTATTAAATGGTGACAAAAATCACAATATTTTTCTTTTAAAATAAGTTACATAAATATTAAGACACTGAAACCTGAATGATGAAATGCATTTAAGATAGCAGAATAGTTTTTTGGGCACTTTTCTCATTTTTGTGTGAAAATCACAAGCATAGCTCCATAAGGCATGCCACATACATTAGTGTATTTACTTTATTGAAAAAATAATATCTTGTACAAGTAAACTGGTTTTTTTCTTGTGTGCAAACAAATACCCAAGTTTTTGTTTATCCAGTGTACACCCCACCAGTACTTCTCATTAATATTCATGCCTAACAAACATAACTGCACTGAGGCCAAGCTATTTACAAACAACTGATAAGATATCTGTTTGTAGTTTACACACAGCTGATAAGATATGTGCACTGCTTCGTTTCGAGAGGAGGAAGCTGTACAGCAAAGACAAAAAATAACTTTTGAAACACAACACATTTTGAATAAACAAAAAGGTACATGAGTATATCACTCCAACGTATTACCGGATTCTGCCGTAAATTCGCTTAGGCCGTTTAACGGTAGTTTGGTTTTTTTAATTTTGTTTTATA